TTATTATAGCTAATCGATAGGCGTACTAATGGATTGGTATTAGAATTATCAGAAGCCTTGTCACGACCTTGCTTTGCCTTTTTTAACTATGTTTTTCTGTAAAAACTTAGTCGCTCTATATAGAATTATATAAAAATATGAAGGGGCAATAAAAATACCCCTTTTACCGCATCTTTGTGTATAATTTGTGTTTTCCTTAATAATGCTTTAATTAAGATCAAAAACAAATTTAACAGATTTAAGAAAGTGCGAATGCATGCCTATACGCATCGCAAATAGAAATTATTATTATGTCCTAAATCTGAATTACTTTCAGAATGCAAGACAATTGAGGAAACCTGAAAGTAACCAGAGAAAGCTCCTAAGTGCTGTAAATCCTCAATATGTCCTTCAATTTTGAATTATCTCTGTAAAAGTGTTGCGATACCATTGTCGGCACAAGAAAAACTTTGAAATTGCGCGAGCAGTCGATAGGAGAAATCGTTCAGAAAGTCGTACAGTAGGATTAAACTAAATTAAAGTTTTCTAAACGTATCGGAACGTACCAACGGGAATTAATGACGCACAAATAATCGACAAATCTACTTAACTTGCAAATTGTTACAGCCATTAAAAGCACAAGCGAAATAGATTTGCAGGATTGATTGAATTAAGCTTTTCGTTAATTAATTACTAAAATTATATAGATACATATAAATTTTAATAATTGATTAACGAAAAGCTTATTCGACCAATCGTGCAAATCTGTTTTATATGTATAAAATTCCGCATTGTGTAATTGTTCTGATGCATATATAAGCTCCTGCTTTTCTCATAAATGACAAAAACCACAATTTTACATATATGCTTAATTAAAATACCGTATTTACAAGTAAAATATTACTCTTTGGTATCTACTTTAGTATCTTCCGATACTAAATTGTTATTATTCAGATACATAGACGTATATAATAGAGTGAGCAATCTCATTGGGAAGCTTTTGACAAAATCTGAAGGACAGAAGATATGGTTGCTGAGACACGTTTGTAGCACCAACGATTATAAAAGAAAAGCATCTCAGCAAGCATATCTGGTCCTTTAGATCTTGCCAGAAGCACTCCAATGAGAATACTCGGTCTATTATATATGTTTATGCGTTAATGATAAAGACATAATAAATGAAGTTTATTATCTATATAATTAAATAGATACCCAACTTTTTTTAAAATCCAAAAAATATATTTATATGTTGCAAATACACACACATTGCGACAATGAATAATTCCAATTGGGTTTAACACGTGTTAACATTTCTTTCACTTCGTGAATATGAGTTCGCAGTTCGTTAGCGGCTTAATTGACGTGGAGAAGAAATTAGAAACGGAGAATTCAAGAAAGACTATATATATATTTTGATGAAATAGAAAGCGACATTAATAAACACGATGCTATTTTCGTGCAACAAAACTCTTTTTTTGAGAAGAAGTCGATATTAATGGAGTACGAATAAAGTCCTTTCATGGAAGCTGTATTCTGCAGGTGTAATAATGCCGTTCTCGTGTCTCGACGAGCACGCCGATATCCGAAATAAAAGAAGCGGTTTTAAAAAGCGGTTTCACGCGGATGCGACCGGTATACGTCATAGAGTCGATCGGGTCATTTTTGCGCGACTGGTTTTATCGACTTCGTTATTCTACTACGAACAGGAAAAATATATCACACAGCGAAGAAATGAAACGAATATTCGGAAACGGAAAAATGAATTCAAAAACAAAGGAATAATACCTCTGCAAAAAATATAGCAATGCGCATCCATTTCTTTCTAGATATCTTTTAGATTATTCTTTTATATTTGCTTTCTAGGAAGAATATTCAAAATTTGGAAAACGTAGCACGCGAGAAATAACACTTCGGAATATCCTACTTCTGAGAAAAAATATATACTTCACGTTTCACCATTATTCTTCATGCGCGGTGAAATGCGTCGTTAAGCAGAAACGCTTACACAAATGATGGTGGAATTTATGCCGCACGCACTTGCACACACAGATAGAAAATTATTCTACTTAAAGAGAGAGAGAAAGAGAGAAGAAAGCATGCACGACAGCGCGCATAATGCACGGGATACAAACATCGCAGTGTGTCAGTTCTCTCGCTAGCGAGACAATGGTTCGTTTTGTTAAACAGCGCGGGCTCTCTTTGGACTCCAGTTTTTGATTTGTTGTATTCGACGTCGCGAGTTTCACGAAAAAGCAGGGGCATGCTAATCGTCATTGTAGACCCGTTAATTTCACACTTTGAATGCACACAGGAAAGTTAAAGACAACGGTTGAAACTGGAAGGGTGTGCTTTTATATAGATAAAAAAAAAACTCTGTGTACGTACGTATTCACGAATTTAACTCGGAAAGTTTTAATCGTATGGCATGCGCTGAGTGTCCCAGATTTCCCAGTTCTTTTTACGAGATGAGCCGTGTACCACGGTCCACAAAAAAAAAACGTTTGAAATCCGCGATCCTATTTAGGACGTAGGATTTTATATTGCCGCGCAAAACGAGTATATTCCTCTTCGACGTGTACTATCGATTGCAAGTGGATTGGATCGCGATCAAATCGACTGGAGTTTTACTCCAGAAACGTTCGTGGTTATTAATAGAGAAAGAGAGTTCGGCCATGTGCAGGAACGAGTATATTGTTCTGAGAAATCTTTATGCTCATGCGCGTTTAATAAGCAAGCAGCAAGAGGCGAACATAATAGCAGAAAGTATTTGAATTAACGACGCGATAAACAGTCACGCGAGGCGTACTGTCGTCAGGTAAATCGCAGAATGTGTTAGCGCAAATCGTGTAAATATAAACTGTATAGAACGTAAATTAATGTTTTCGAACGTGCCGCAGATTATTTTGACGGTAGCAAAACGTCCGACTATTTATCTAACGCACGTCTGTTTTGACAAATTGAAATGTACCGGATTTACGTAACACTTTACTGTATTGTCATATACAATTACAACATTATCAACATAAATTACATCACGAGGAAACGCTTATGCTGTACCTCGGCGCACGTTTATCGAGTGAATGTGTTATTTCAAATCGCTATTATGATTACTAATACAACTGATGGTATAATCATGTAATAAAAATTCGTGACAGATGTAAGTATAAAACTTTCATTATTTTTCAAATTATTTCTGATTATTTTGCGAGGTTCGTCATCATTTTGATTAATCAATGCGCTATCGATAGTCCGGTATTGATATTTAGAGTTAGTATGTATCATTGCAGATTTCTGAGAAAGTCAATAACACCTTTTCAAGATATTCTGCCGAAACCTCGGCCGAAACACAATATGTTCACGACAATTCAGACAATACATGTGTTTATCACACATATTAAATACACACGTTTCTTGTATAACTATGTAAATGTATATCCGTTTTAACCAGCATATGTTTCTCTAGCCTCATAAGACCGTGCTTAAGCATCGTAAAGCTTGAACAACTCTTCGAGTTGGAGACTACCTAAAGCCGAACGAGCTTCCGCTTAGTTCAACGAAGTTTTAATGGTTCATCAGAAAAAGCAAACTGCGCGCCATGCTAAATATAGGTCTCTGGACTACGACGGGCCATTATACGCTCGCAAATTCCATACAGGCGTCTTGCGGCGCCTCGCCATAAGAGAATCTTAACGTGCGCGTTTCCGCGTCATCGCCGAGAATAAAATTTTCAGCTTGAATAGCCGCACCTTTCTTTCGATTGCTGAGAAATGATGAGTGAGTAGCCTTTGGAGGCAAAGTAGAGCGTATAATAAAAAATCCTGAGATTAGAAAAGAAGTTAATTGCGCGTGATTTTTCTATTTCGAAATATAATTACTCGAAAATACGTAATTTTTAAAAGAGAATGTATACACAAGTTTGGAAATTTTAATTTTGCGGGATTAGCCCACGAAAACTTGTTATGCCGAGATGTTACGTCGACATTATATATACGCGTTCTCTCAACTGGAACATTTGGAATACATTACGTTTCCGGATCATAACGTCATGAAATAAATTTTTTACACGTTTGTCACTTTTTCAGAATAAATACGGAATTCTGTGTATTTGCGCTGAATCGACAAAGCCAATTCATTTATTCGACCAACGAGAGAAACTAATCGATATTAATGAAAAATCCAGAAAGTTAACGGAACTCGTACAATGCCGGATAACGAGGTGAAATAAGCGTGTACCGAGAACTGCATTCCCCAGTGCATAGAAACGTGACGTATGTTATTATATAGCGCAAAAATGCAAAGTTCACCGCGCCGGGCATATAGTTGAAGTCTTTATTTCCGTCGAGGATCTATTTCTGGAAAGTCTCGAGTTCTATGGACGATGATATATAAATCTTGATAATCGTCATAATAGTTTTTCACAATAAAACGTCAACGCTGTTTGCCGCAACAATTATACAGACGGGAAACAAAGTTTCGCTAGATTAACGCTCGTTGATATACATAATTAAATGTTAAATGTTAAACATCACGCGTTGTAAATACTACCTAATTACGATAAATTAATAATGCTCAATATTCGCGAAATGTTAAAGCAACGTTATTATTAAAATAACGTATTATTTCGCATTTATATACGTCAATATATCGAAAACTGTATATTACTCCGTAATATATTAGACAATAAATTACTTCGTACATGAAAATACGTTAAACGTGCAATGTGTATGTTCGGAGTTCATACGGTGCGTTCTGTGTCTTAAAATAAAAAAGTAATGTTAAATCGACACGTTAACGATTAATTAATTTTTCTTAAAGTCCTACTCAATTACTATAACCCTTTTATAACATATATCGCGGATAGAACACAAAATTAGAACCTATAATTCATGTATGGTCGATCAGATTGTATAAAACAACATTTCGTTGCTTCAACTCAATTCTAATTCTCGGGAGACTTTTCATTTTATTTATCCAGCCGCCATTCATTATGGCATACAATATCTAGGAAATGTAACACTCACCTGGTGGAATGATCGACGAAAGAACCGCCATCCAGGAGTCTTAACTTGGCGAAAAGCACGGCACTGACGAATGGCACCGCCGTGAGCTCCTCGAGGTTGACTTCCACCGAGAATTTGTACTTTTTCTTCTTCATCATGAAGGCCATCTCACTGAGGCCGGGACACCGCACTTTGAATCCTGTCGCGTGTAACGCGCGAGTCCTCGAGCAAGTTCCTGGCGGCAAGCGGAGACCGCTCGAGTCTGCGGACCCCCTCCGGCCGATACTAATCTGCGTCCTTGACTTCGATTCAACGTTCGCGGGTGATCCCGGCCGATTTCGCGCGACTTCCTGAAACCGGTCGTTCGTGTCTCTTCGCGGACTATCACTTCGCGGTTTTACGCACCATCGGTCTCACTGACGTTTCGTGCGCGCGCGCGCGCGGGAAAGTCATTCCCGACGTTTCAATTACGGAAAATATAGAGCGGAAGAGATAACGAAGAGCGCCGACTGCCCGGAGTTTTTCAGTTTCTCGGATCGCGCGATCGAGATTGCTTCCCGTACGTCCGCGAGCACTTATGGATGGACCACGACGGGAAAAGAAAATTATGTCGCGCGATTTCCGCCGTCGGGAATTCTCTCCCGGAAGAGGAACGTCTTAGGAACGAGTGCGACGTGGCGGATGACGGCCTCGTGTCGTTCCCGCGGATGCTTCATCGACGCCGCTCGTCGTTCCCACGTTCGTCGACGTCGCGACGAGATTCACGAGGAAGAAATGCAGCTGGCGCACTTGCTCGCCATTTTCGTCGTCTGGAACTGCAAGCAAAAATTCGACGTTTTGTTTGTGCGAACACATTACATGACGAAAATAGGGGTGAAAAGTAACCGGTTTACTTGTGGCGGAAAAGAAAACGTCGGCGCAACTCACTTGTTGCACGAAAAAAAGAACGAACGATGCGAACATAATGCGCACGATAAATTTCAGTAAAAATGCAGCGATTTTGGAGCGTAATTAACCCTTAAAATTTACTCTGAAATCATGGTAGTTGTGGGACAACATGTACCACCAAGAATTTTATGCGAGCTATATTCTGATTAATATCTACTATAATAAAAAATATTAATATCTATTACCTTAAAATATAAAATGTTTGATTAATTTTACTAAAATATATTTAGGAAATTTCAATAATTTTTCAAAATTTACCAATCTGCTTGGTAATTTTTATCACGTTGTTTGTAAAATGTCTTTTGTATATTTTAAAAATTCCTTGGTTGCCAAGTTGTCCCAAGTTTGTAGTGAATTTAAGGGTAAAATATGACAAAAAATTCTCTCCGCGTGTGCGTGCTGAGTCTATTCAGTATTCCTACAATAATAATGATTGGAAATTTTTTTATCGGACTTGGAATTATAAATGTTCTGTGTGTGGGGGGCACTAAATGTATAAACTAATAACAATAAAATTGTAATGAACGACGATAATAAATAACATCGTGTAAAAAAAATAATACTTGTTTTTCTAGATTATATTGTAGATGATTCAAACGCTCATATAAATTACGTATAAAATATTGATTAGATATATCAATTAATGGACAAATTGGTCCTGTTTATTTACAATATTAAAATTTACTGTGCCCAATATTACATTCGAAGCGTAAAATATAAAATTAATATCAGAGAATCCATTCATATATAAACAAATATAGATATGCACGCTTGCAGTTTAATGTGTTATCAATACGCGTAGTATGTAGCAACGAATTTTTTTACACTATAAATTTAAAAGGCAAAATTCATACTTTAATATCACGATATATTCTAAACTTGTGTAATTTCAAAATCAAATAAATATACGTATAAAGTAAAATATCCATTAAACACTTTGAGATTCCAACGACAATGACTTTAAAGATAGCACAATTGATTACGCGATTATAGAACCAAACAAACAAGTCAGAAAAATACTATCTATGTGTACACTTGCGACGGAAGCAGAAATCGTCCGAATAATTATCTTTCAAGTTTGTGGATGACGCCAAGATAAAATCATAAGTCCGTCAATATTTATTTGTGTATACGTTTCGTGTTGCCAATATAGATTTTTAAATAATGTGTATATCGTGTTTTTTCTTGTAGCTACATTGCGGTTCATTAATGGAAGGGAAAATATTATATATAAACATTTTCCTCAAATTATAGAGATTATTGCTAACCCGGATAAAATAAAGAGAAAGATTGAAATACTATCTGGTATAATAGTATTCAATATACATTGCACATTTCTGCCATTTAGTAGACGATCATGAAAGCTACGTCGCAAATACTTTATTCAGGCGAGGCAGGCAACGTTTCATTGCCGTTTCTTTGTGTTGCAGAGTGATTTATAATTTGCAAATCGCGACAAAATTGTCGCGCGGCAAGATATATCTCGTGAAAGAGAAATGATGCAAACTGCACGACGAATAATTAGAGGGACGTACGTTCCGAAAATGCTAATTACGCTCAAAAATGCGAACGAAGCGCGTTCCTTCCTGGAATCGAGTTTCAGGATGCGAACTGGGTGAGCACGACGCGTTCACGTGACGCACCAACGGCTGATGCGGGCCGAGATTACAAACACAGCTACAACAACCGGCACCGGTCGAAAAAGCACAGTCCAATCTGTATATGAGACGGGGAATTTAAGCTACCGAAGAAGGGGGAACCACCGCGAGAATTATGAAGACCAGCCAGCGGAGAGCGATAAAAATGTTTGAGAAAGCCGCTTGACGCAGCAGGAAAATTTAATGCTTTCAACGCGTTTCAACAGGCTTCTCATCTCATCTCAAAATTTATGACGGAGGAGCAAATGCATCTTTTAATAAATTTGTTATGTACATTTATGAAATATAATTATAAGAACTCAGATTCTCCAGATGCCATCTAATATATAGATTTATGTATAAATATATATATAAATCGCGCGCGTGTGGAAATATAGATATAAGAAGTAATATAATTTAAATGTTCTCATCCAAGAGTCTTCGCACTTTACGTGGAGTACAAGTTTTGCAATAAATTCATTTCTTTTTTATCAAGTTGTTAGAATATTACTGTAGTATAACTGATTGTGAGTTAATAATAAAATAATACTTTTCACGTATTAAGTTTCAAAGGCGCGAATAAGCAAAAGTCCATTAATTTAGATATCTAAAAATTAAGAAATCTTTGTTCAGCATTTTATTTAAGCAGTAGGACTAACGGAAATAGATTTAAATTTTGAATTTAAAAAATATTTCTTTAAAATAGTTTTTAATGAGAATTTTACTTTAGAACGATCAAATCGAAACTAATTAAAGATTCGTAGATTCTTAGATAACTCCAGGAAATAATAAAAGGTCTTTGAGAGGTGCTGGTCTTTTGACTAACACAAATCAAACTAATTAGAATTGATTTAATATATATTTATATATAGTAGTATATATTCAAAAATTCTAAATTTTTATCATAACTCTTGTTATTTTTAAATCAGATATCTTATATATTATAATCTACCGTTGTTTGTCAAAATAAAAAATTGATTTCATTTCGATAATCAAAATTTCCATTCAGAAATTGCCTTCAAAATACCCCGTCAATTTTCGGTTACAAGCAGCAGCTTCTATGCTCCATTATCTTGAAAAATTAAGGGGATATTCATTGATGATGGATTATCCGGTCATTGAGCGTCATTGACATCGATATCCACTCGGCAATCTCGCTCCACCCTTAACTCGTCCGGCTTTTGGACGAGGACGAATCACGATAAGAACAATCGAGAAGTATATAATCTCCCTACTCCTTAGACACTAATCCTTTTAGACACTAATCCCTACAGGATTAATCTCTCCATGTCCAAGTAATAAATCAAAGAACGGATTACTCTGATTTATATATAAACTTTCTTCGCTTACCTTACATTATTACAAATTACTACGAGTAATGCAAAAAAACAAATTTCGTTTCTCATTTATATGTTTACTGTAAACATTAATTTCGTGCGCGTGTGTCGAGTGTATTTACGTGTATAAATGTATATGGAGGAAAGGAAAATACCGAATTAATATTTATATTAGATATATAAACAAGAAATAAAATTTTTATATACATATACATACACATACGCACATATTTTTCAAATTAATGTTTACATAATTTAAATACATATAATGCGTTCGTGTAATACATGTAATAAAATATATCCTTTTACATTATATTATTTAAATATACGTACTCATTTAAACCACGCGTAATTCGTAGGTTCCTCGCATTACCTACGAATCGACGGATGCCCGACATAACCTAAAACGCGCCCCCGAAATCCACGATCTCCCAGAGACGATCTCCGTGTATCGCGTTCGCGCTCGGCTGCGCGCATCGCGCGCGCACGCGACAATTGTTAAAAGTAGCGCGGAGCGAGAGCGGCGACGATAAGAAACGCGCGTCCGACGTCCGTAGCCTAGCCGTACGCACATCTTATCGCTCGACCGTCGCGTCAGTCAGATCGTTGACAGATCGACCAGTCGCCTCATAGAATGTCGCGGCGCGGGACACTGTCCTCTCGAGTCAATCCTCCGTTTGCGCGCCGGAATGCCGCCGGATCGCGTCAATTCGCGATTGTGTCATCCTCTCTGCGACGGGACCGCCGAATTCAGAACCAAATCAAAACTGATCCTCGCTTTTGAACGCGGGGAGATCGGGGCCTCGCGCCGAACCGACGACGCGTGACTTTCAGCAGCCGACTTCCAGGTCGAGGCGCGGACGCGAACCGCGAACGGTGAAAGCGACCGCGTTCGGTAAGTTCGGTAGCGGGAGGGGGGGGAGGGGGAGGCAGAACGTAGAACGCCGACGACCTGAAGTTCGCTCCGCGTCGACTTCATAACCTCTCGAGCCAGCGGCACCCGCGCCACCCGCGCACCGCCACGGGGAATCGATCCTCGGAGCGCTCTCCGATGACTCTGATCCGGAGCCTCGACGGCCTCGACTCCGCGGGTGCGCTCTCTCGCGCGCGCGAATCGCGCGGCGGAACGTCGAACGAATCCACGGACGAGAGAACCTCGACGTCGGAGATGCGACGGTTTTATAACCTCTCTCTCTCTCTTTCTCGCGGCGCGCGTCGACGGCTCGACGTCCCGACGCTCCGTTTTCATCTCCTTTCTTTCTCTCTTTTCGCTCCGAGTTTTATCTCGAATCACGGGGGGAACGATATCGCGAGAGAGAGAGAGAGAGAGATCATCGGCGAGGGTCGGGTTCAGATACGAACGCGCGTTTCTCGAGAAATTGACGGACGGTTACTTACCGTGTCTTCGTACATACGCTCCCTCCTTGCGGTTTGCACGCTAGCCGATTTCACGCACTCTCACACTTTTCATCATCACAGGCGTCT